GGCCAGTTTATTGTCCCTGAACCAGTACTGTACTGCCTTAATTACCTTACCTTCATAATAAATCTTGATATTTGATAAAGCAAAATCTTCCCATCTTATTTTTCTTCAGAAGTATCATGTATTCTTAGCCCTTTGTTATTTAATTAATTTATTTATTTATTTTGAGATAGGTTCTTGCTCTGTCACCCAAGCCAGAGTGCAGTGGTGTGATCTGGGCTCATAGCAGCCTCGACCTTCTGGGCTCAAGCGGTCCTCCCACCTCAGCCTCCTGGGTAGCTGAGACTACAGGTACATGCCATTATGCCCAGCTAATTTTTGTATTTTTTGTAGAGACAGGGTCACCCCATGTTAACCAGGCTGGTCTTGAACTCCTGCACTCAAGCAATCCACCCACCTTGGCCTCCCAAAGTGCTGGGATGACAGGCGTGAGCCACCTTGCCCGGCCCTCCTTTGTTATTTTATTTTATTAATTTAGTTATTTGAGACAAGGTCTTGCTCTGTCACGCAGGTTGGAGTGCAGTGGTGCAGTAAGCTCACTGCAGCCTCAACCTTCAGGGCTCAAGCAGTCCTCCCACCTCAGCCTCCCAAGTAGCTGGGACTACGAGGGCATGCCACCACACCCAGCTAATTCTGGTATTTTTTTGTAGAGACAGGGTTTCCCCATATTCCCCAGGCTGGTCTCAAACTCCTGGCCTCAAGTGATCCTCCTGCCTTAGCCTCCCAAAGTGCTGGGATTACGGGGGGGTTACCATGCCCGGCCCCGCTTTGTTTTTTTTCAAACACATTTCAGAATCAACTTGTCATGTTCTATAAAAATGTTGGAATTGCAATGAATCTGTAGATCATGTTGAAGAGAATTGATGTTTATGGTGTTGAGTCTTCCTCCCTAAGAGCATGACATAGCTCTCTATTGTAAATAAATTATTGAACGTCTTTTGGCAGAGCTTTATATTTTTCTGCGTAAGGTCTACATATCTTGTGTTAGATTTATTTATTGGTGCTTTATGGGTTTGCTGCTATTATAAGTGGGATCTTTTATTGTATTTTTTATCTCTTTTGCAGGTATATAGAAATGAAGTTAGCTTTTGTATATTAGTACTATAACCATTTGCCTTATTACACTTTTCATTATTTATTTTATTTATTTATTTAAGTATTTATTTATTTATTTTTGAGGTCTCATCTTGCTCAGTCATCCAGGCGGGAGTGCAGTGGCGCGATCTCAGCTCACTGCAACCTCCGCCTCCCGGGTTCAAGCGATTCTCCTACTCAGCCTCCCCAGTAGCTGGGATTACAAGCACAGGCCACCACGCTCAGCTAATTTTTTGTATATTTAGTAGAGACGGGGGTTTCACCATGTTGGCCAGGCTGATCTCGAACTCCTGACCTCACATGATCCACCCGCTTAGGCCTCCCAAAATGTTGTTTTTTGTTTGTTTGTTTGTTTTTGTTTTTTGAGATAGAGTCTCGCTCTGTCTCCTAGTCTGGAGTGCAGTGGTGTGATCTCGGCTCACTGCCACCCCCACCTCCCAGGTTCAAGCAATTCTCCTGCCTCAGCCTCCTGAGTAGCTGGGATTACAGGCTCCCACCACCATGCCCGGGTAGTTTTTGTATTTTTAGTAAAGACGGGGTTTCACCATGTTGGCCAGGCTGGTCTCGAACTCCTGACCTCAGGTGATCTGCCCGCCTCGGCCTCCCAAAGTGCTGGGATTACAGGAGCGAGCCACCACGCCTGGCCCTAAACTTATTTTTAAGTAGGTTTTTATTCTGGAATAGTTTTAGATTTACAGAAAAGTTAGTTAAGAGATAGTACAGAGAGTTTCTGTATATTCCTCACCGTAGTACATTTATCAAAAATAAGAAAGCAACATTGATATATTACTACTACCTAAACATCAGACTTTACATGGCTTTATCAGTTTTTTTCACTGGGGTCCTTTTTTTGTTCTGGGATCCAATTCAAAATATCACATTGGATTTAGTTGTCATGTCTCCATAGTGTCCTCTGGTTTATGACAGGTTCTCAGTCTGTTCTTGTTGTTTTTTTTGTTTTGTTTTGTTTTTTCCCCAGAAGTCCATTAAGCTGAGAATGTCCTTGTTTTCATGATCTAACAGTTTTAAGGAATACTGTTGAATGTTCCTCAGTTTGTATTTGTCTGAAGTTTTGCTTATATTTAGACTGGAGTTGTTTTTGGAAAGAACACCAGAGTTTAAATGCCTTTCTTATCAGATCGTATCAGAGGTACCTGTATCCATTGGCATCCCTGGTTTTGTGAACCTTCATCTCTTGGTTAAGGTGGTGTTTGCCAGGTTTTCCCCCTGGCAAGTTGCTGCCTTTCCCTTTTCATAGTCTGTTCTTTGGAAGAATCTAGCCCACCCGCAAGGAGGCGGGAAGAATTAAGCTACAGCTCCTGGAAGGAGGGGGTGTATCTCTGTATATCATTTGAAATTCTTCTGTAAAGATTTGTCTCTTATCCTTATTTATTTACTCTGTCACTTATATCAGTATGAACTCATGCGTTTTTATTTAATAATTTGAGTTATAAATCTAATACTGTGTTCTTTGTTTTGTTGGTCAAATCAGTCCAGTTGTGGCCACTGGGGACTCTTGCCAGTTGGCTCCTGTGTCCCTTTCACATACTCCCATCCTTTGGTTTTGAGCACTGCTTTACTTGCCAGCACTTGGAAATGCTCCAGACTCATCTTGTATTTTCCTCTCTCAGTCCTGGAATCAGTCATTTCTCCAAGGAGCCCTGGTTCCTTTTAAGGTGTCTGTATATTCTTTTATGTTTTCTATGGTGACAACCATATCAGCTATAAATAATGACAGTTTTGTCTTTTGCTTTCCAATCTTTATGGCTTTATTTTTCTTGTCATACTGAGATGAGCAGGACATCTAGTACAATGATGACAGCATGCATCCGTGTCCTGTTGTGTATTTTAGAGGAAACACCACTAACTTTTCCCTATTAAGAATGATACTGTATTTGCTATAGACTTCCTAGAGGTTTTATCAGGTTAAGCAAGTTCCATCCTATTACTCTATATTAAGAGGCTTTTATTTTTTTAGTAATGAAAGGGTGTTGAATTTTTACCAAATGCCTTTTCTGTTTCTTACGATAATTATATTTTTTTCTCCAATAATCTGATATGTGGTAAATGACATTTATAGATTTTCCTTAGGTTAGACCATCTTTGCATTTCTTGTATAGACACAGCTTGGTCATGGTCTTTCATTTTTTATACAGTGCTGGACTCAGGTTGGTAAACAAAAGTTTAGAATTTTGCAACTGTGTCCATGAATAAAATTGGTCTTTACTTTTCCTTTCTTAGGCTGTTCTTAATGGCTTTTGGCATTAAGGTTCTGCTGGTATAGAATGATTCAGAGTGTTCCCTCTTTTACAGTATTCTGGAAGATGCTCTGTAACTTTGGAATGATTGGTTTGGTAGAACTCCTGCAAAACCATCTTGGTCTAGTGTTCTCCTTTTTAATACTGAGTTACTATTAAACTTCTAAATTAAAATCTTTTCAAAATTGTAAATAAGAAGGTTGAAATTTGCTGCCATGTTTATTTTAGAAGCTTTATGCTTGAAATGGCTACACACAAATCCTGAGCAAGACTTTTTAATGATGCATTCTTCAAATTCTTAACAGTCGCCATCCATAAATGTCTTTCTTTGTACAAGTAGGTGATAAAATATTGAAAGCCAATTTTTAAATGTTTCAAAGATGTTTAACAATTGGAATTATATCTAACAGCTTTTCTTTTTGTTTCACTGACAAGTATATTGTTAAAACTTCTCATGACGATGTGAGTAGATTTCAAATCCAGTTGAACGCTTTCATATTAACAATTTCAAAATAATGATGAAGCTCTTATTTGCAGAACATGCATCATTATTAGAACCATCACCCTGCAGCTAGCTTGGATACCATTAAAAGGGCTCACCAGCTGCAAACGGATAAAAGTATCTGATACTCGGGAAGACAGAGTTTCAGGGTTTCTACCTGGAGCTACACCCTCCAGAAGCCCCTCCTTGGCCTCCCTGCACCCAGCCCCATCCCAGCCAGTCACAACTTGGGCTGTACGTGGTGTTTCTTGGAACCCGGAACACAGACTCCTCCAGCAGCTCCACAGGCCCCTTGTCCTCAATGAGCAGAAGACTACAGGAGCTGGCTACTGAAGAGGCTGTCCAAGTGATAGAGCACCTTCTTGGCCCTGCTTAGCACATTTACTGCAGAGCTGGATGCTACTTCTTTGTGCTCACCACCTTCAGGGACTGCAGAGGGATTTGTCAGACCCTACTTCACTAAGGGCCACCCTCTAAGGATCTCCAGAAGAGGCTGCCCATAGAGAGAAGTGGCCTGCCTAGGGTCTCCACTGCCTCAGGTCCTACCCGGACACCTCTAGGGCTGAGGGGATCAGTATCTCTTCACCTACCTGTAATCCACATACCAAGTGGAAGAATCTGCCTGCTATTTTTTTGTTTGTTTTGGTGGGAAGAGTTTTAACTACTGCTGTAATTCCTTTAGTAGCTATGGAACTGTTGAGGATTTCTTTTTCTTCTTGAGTCAATTTTCGTAAGATAACAGTTTTCTAGGAGTTGGTCCATTTTGTCTGCATTTTCAAATTCATTGGCATAAAGTTTCCTTTTTATTCTCTGCTGTGTATAAACTGTAACGATGTCTCCTTTTTCATTACTGATATTGGTTATTTGTGCCTTCTCACTTTTTTTCTTGATCAATCTCACCAGAGGTTTATCTATTTTATTAGTCTTTTCAAAGAACCAACTTTTGGCTTTGTTGCTCCTCTCTATTGTATCTTTGTTTTCTATTTCTTTAATTTCTGCTCTTATCTTTTTTGATCTCCTTCCTTCCACATTTTTTGGGTTTATTCTGTTGTTCTTTTTCTAATTTCTTTAACTGGACATTGAGCTCATTAATTTTCATTCTTGCCCATTTTCTAATTTGTGCATTTAAGGATATAATTTCCCTCTAACTACTGCTTCTCCATAAGTATAGATATGTAGTATTTTCATTATTGTTCAGTTATAAGTATTTCATTTCCATCAAGGTTACTTCTTTTACCTGTAAGTTATATAGAAATGTGGTTTTAGATTTCCAAATGTTTGGGGATTTAAAATTTTACCTCTTTGTTATTGAAATCTGTCTTAATTGCATTATGGTCAGAGGATGTGGTTCGTGTGATAACAACTCTGAAATTTTTTAGACTTGTTTTATGGCTTAGTATGTGACCAATATTTTTGAATGCTTCCTATGTGCTAATTTATAAGAATGTGTGTTCTCTAATTGTTGAATACAGAGATCTACATATGTCTATTATCAAGTTTGTCAACTGTTGTTCAATTTTTACTTATCTATACTAAGTTTTTGGTCATGATCTACCAATAATTGAAAGAGGTGTGTTAATATTCAACTGTGATGGTGGATTTGGCAATTTCTCCTTGTAATTCTATCTTGTTTCTTGCTTTATATATTTCGAGGGTGTTCATTAGGAATATTCAAATTAAGAATTGTTATATATTCCTGATAAATATGTAATGACCCTCTCTATTCCTGATAATGCACTTTTCTTTGAAACCTATTTTATCTTATATTAAATGTAGTAACACAAATTTTTCTTGTTGGGATTTGTGTGGTATATAATTTTCCATCCTTTAACTTTTGAGCATTTTCATGCCATCATGCTTTAATTACATCTCTTGGAAACAACATATAACTGGACTTTTTAAAAAATCTAATCTGATGATCTCTTTTAGTTGGCAAGTTTAGTCTGTTTATATTTACTGTGATGTATTTGGGCTTGTTTCTACCATCATACTTTTTTATTTCTGTTTACCACCGCTACCTTTTTCTATGCTTCATTTTCTCTTTTCTTGCCTGCTTTTTTAGTTTTTGAGATTTATTTTCTTATTCAGTTGTTTCCTCCCTATTTTAATTTTTTTTCTATTCTTTCTGTGGTTACCCTTATAAAGTCTAAAGTTAAACAATATTTTAGCCTCCTTCTTGAAGAATGCAGGAAGCTTAGAAACCTTCAACTCTAGTCATTCCTCTCCTGACTACATACTATTGTTTTCAAATATGTTAGTTTGTTCCTTTTTATAAACCTCACAATTCTACATCTTTATCATAGACAGTGTTTGTTTGGACTTACATGCATACATTCTTGTATCGCAGACCATCCTTTGGGATCATTTTCTTTCATTATGAATATAGTGTTTTAGTGGGTTGTTTTTTTTTTTTTTTTTAAGTACAGGTCTCTTGATGTTAAATTCTTCCAGTCTTTCTTATATGTGAATGTCTTTATTTTATCCTCATTCTTAAAAGATAGTTTGTTACAGGTATTTTTACTCAACACTTAGAATATATGGTTCCATTCTCTTTTGGCTTTGAGAAGTCTTTATTGCTATTAAGAAGTCGACTATCAGACTAATTGCTGGTTTTGTGTGTGTGTGCATGTGTGTGTAGTAGAATGTGCAGAGGGTCCTGCAGTTTTACTCTAACATGTTTACATATGTATTTTTTTATTCTACTTTGGAAATGTCATGCTTCGTGGCTCAGTGGATTCATGCTTTTCATCATTTCTGGGAAATTCTCAGCCATTATCTCTTCAAATATTGCCTTTCATTTTTTCTAGTTTTTCTTTCTCAGAATACAGTTAGTCATATTTTGGACCTCCTCATTCTGTCTTCCATATCTCATAACATCTCTGAGATTTTCTATCTCCTTGTCTTCCTGCATTTCATTCTGGATAATTTCTTTAGGTATATCTTTCAGCTTACTGATTCTCTTTTCAATTAACTTTAATCTGCCCACTGAGTTTTTTATTTCAAAAGTTATATTTTTCATTTGTACAAACCTCATATATTTTACTTGCTAATCTGCCTAGCCATCCCTAATAGTCTCTTATTGCTTGGTCATCTTTGTGATTACATCTGTTACTACTTCTTTAAAACATTTTATATACTTTTTGTTCAACCAGTAGTCACCGTTTGCATGAGTATGACATTGTAAATATTGTTCACATCAAAACTACGTAGTATATTCTGATTACATATCCTTTGTTGTATACCCTTTCGTTTTCCTTGGAGCTAATAATTGTGTATTTTGTTTTCTTTTGCTTAGTGTTCTAGTACCTATTACTATTCTTCTCTGAAATTCTTTATACAGTCCAAATCAGATCATGTCCTTCCACTATTCAGAATTCTCCCATGGCTCCCACCTCCCTCAACAAAAGCCAAAGCCCTCACCATGGCCCAAAAGTCCCTGCATAATCTGGTTCCCTTTACCTCTCTTACCTTGTCTCCTATCACTCTCAGTATCACTCACTCTTCTCCAGCTACACTGGCCTCCTTGCTGTTCCCCAAGCGTGCTGGATACCCTTCCTTTTCAGGGCCTTTGTACTTGTTCTTCTCACTGCCTGGAACACCCTTCCTCCCAAATAATCTGATGAGTTGCCCTAGTACTTCCAGTGTGCCCAAATGTCACCTCCCTAGAGAAGTGTTTCCTGATCAACATATCTAAAATCGCCCCATCACATGCATTTTCTATCCCTTTATCCTACTTTACGTATGTTTTTCTACAAAGCACTGATCACCACCTGGTATATTTTATATTTATCTATTGTGGTTAGTGTTTGTCTCTCTTCAGTAGACTGTAAGCTCCATAAAGCAGGGACTGCTGTTTTGTTCACTGCTGTATCCCCAGTGCCAAAAACAACAGTGCATAGTAGATACTCAATAAATATTTGTGGAACAAACTGAATGAATGGATGAATGACTTAATTGTTAATGTGGAGGATAGAGAGATAAACGCCTGAGGAGTAGGCTAGGCACAAAGGCCTTTAATGTCATGCTAAGGAAGTTGGATATCATTTTTCATAAGGTTGGAGGCTGTGAAGAAGCAGTGAGGATAGCTCCTGGGTTCTTTAGGGAAGCAAGTTCTCAGTTGGTAGGGTTGTGGCAAAGCCCCATATTTTCTGACTGGCTGTACGCCCTAGGGCTCCTGAAGGCAGGCCTGCCTCTTACCCAAATAGCCCTCAAACTGCTGTGTTGTCATGCTGCCTGTTACCTGGTGAAAAGTAAAACCCCAACTCTCATCAGGCTTTCTGATCCCAGCTATCATCCCCCTTTCTCTTGCGCTGCGAGGAACTGTTTCCTGGTCCCCAGGCCAAGCAGACCACTCTCATTATACTTTACCTGTGGTACTTGGTGGTCGGTAGGGGGGCTGCAGGCGATAGCGTGGAAGCTGGTGTGATGATGAGCTCATAGTAAGTGTTGTTATAATGGGAGATACCTTAGGAGGGTAAGTTACAGCTCAAAAAGTTTTTTTTTTTCATTGTCAAAGTGAGAACAGGCTATGTGGGGTTTTAGTCCTGACTTTGCCCCTAACCCTACTGGGGCCTAGTCTGGCTCCAGTGTTTCTGCCTGCCCATGACTCTGGATACTAATTCTATTGTCTAATGTGTGACCTACTCTCCTATTTCTGTCACCTACTAATTTCATCAGCATGCCATCAGAATTATACAGAATGTCATGTATAATTAGCTCCCTGTGGCATGCCAGTAGAGACCTCCCTATCCAGGACAACATCAACTTATTAATCATTAGCACACTGAGTTTAACTAAACATCCACCTAGCTATAAGTTCAGTTGAGCAAAATTTGACCACTTACTATGTGTCAGGCCTCCTCCTGTACACTGAAGACACAGAGATGAACGAGATGTGTTCCCAGACACAGAACCGTAAATTCAGGGCAGTGTGGTCAGTGCAGTAACACTGGTAGGAAGAACAGACTGTGAGAGCCCCTAAGGAATACACAACCCAGCGCAGGGGACCAAGGAAGCTTTCTTGGAAGAGATGGCATATGAACTAAATCTTAAAAGATTTAGTTTAACTTTCTAATGTTAAACTGCCCTTGCATTTCTGGGATTAAACTCAACATTTTTATGTTGTATTAAATCTTATTCATTCTGGATGTGGTTTGCTAATAAACTATTTAGGATTTTTGCATCTTTAGCCATCTGTATTTGTCTGGTTAAGGTTATAGTGATCTCATCCAATAAATAAATCAGTTTTCTAGGAATTGGTCCACTTCATGTAAGTTTTCAAATTAATTATATTCTCTTATTTTTTAATTTTTACTATATCTTTTATGTCATTCATATTATTTGTGCCTTTTCTATTTTTTCTTGTAAGTTTCTCCAAAGATTTTTTTTTAGTGATTGGCCTTGAAAAGCTTACCATACATATTTAACTAAAGTCCAAAGTTAAACATACTCCCCACCCAAACAATTCACAGACTTTATAAATCTTTAATGTCTCCCAACTTACATGTTATTATGTCTACTATTTTTGTTCCTCCCTTATTAAGGATGACACTAACAATATCATTTTGTGCAAACATTGTTTGCTTAAATACTCATTTACCTTTTATTTGCCCACCTTTCTTCTTTTACCTCAGATGTCATTTTTTGGGACGATATTTTTTCTTCTTTTTTTTTTTTTTTTTTTTTTTATAGTGATTGTGTCTCTCTCTTTTGCCTAGGCTGGAGTGCAGTGGCATGATCTGGGCTCACTGCAAGCTCCGCCTCCCGGGTTCACACCATTCTCCTGCCTCAGCCTCCTGAGTAGCTAGGACTACAGGCGCCCGTCACCATGCCTGGCTAATTTTTTGTTTTGTTTTGTTTTGTTTTGTTTTTGTATTTTTAGTAGAGATGGGGTTTCACCGTGTTAGCCAGGATGGTCTCAGTCTCCTGACCTCGTGATCCACCTGCCTTGGCCTCCCAAAGTGCTGGGATTACAGGCACGAGCCACTGCGCCCAGCCGGATTTTTCTTCTTCTTGAAATACATACAGAACTTTAGAAAATCCTTTAGTGTAGATCACTTAATTGGAAACTCTTAGTCTGTGTTTATCTATAAATGCCTTTTTTTCCCTTTATTCTTCTTAAAAGATGGGTTTGCTAGGTACCTACTTCTAAATTACCTTTTTTAGAAGGATATTAAACACTGACACGAAGAGGACATTATGACACTCTCATCTGGTTTCCATTGTTACCGTTGCAAAGTCTACTGTCACTCTTAAGTTTTTTTTGTAGGTGTTCTTTTTCTCTGGCTGCTTTGAAGGTCTGTTGGTTATTGGTTGACTCTATAAGATCTTTTTAGTTGGTGTTGTCTTGCAAATGTTCCTTTTTATAGCTTCCTAATCTTGCCCTATGAATGCAGTGTTTTCTTGTTGCTCTGATGATATTAAATAATAATGTCTTTTTAAAAAGTGTTCTCCCTACAATTTTATGTATTTATTTATTTATTGAGACAGAGGCTCCAGACTCAGGCTGGAGTGCAGTGGCACGATCTCATCTCACTTCAACCTTCACCTCCTGGGTTTAAGTGATTTTTCAGACTCAGCCTCCCAAGTAAGTGGGATTACAGGTGCCCGCCATCACACCCGGCTAATTTTTAGTAGAGACAGGGTTTCACCATGTCGGCCAGGCTGGTCTCAAACTCCGGACCTCAAGTGATCCACACACCTTGGCCTCCCAAGGTGCTGGGACTACAGGCGTGAGCCACCGTGCCCAGCCCTACATAATTTTTGTTTCCAAACATATATATTTTGTTGTCAGCAGCAGTGAGAAACTCACTGACACCAGATTTGGCCAAAGGCACCACAGATAACACAAGCATGACATATTCTGAAGCCTTAAAAAGAATCTGTATGAATAATGGGCGGGGGGGGGGGGGCTCTACTGTGTGCAAACATGGGTCAGTGCCACAGTTCTGTCACTTGCAAGTATGTTAGTGCAGTGGACTTGAGCCAGACTGCCTGGATTCAAATCCCAGAGCTGGTCAAGTCACTTGACCTCAAATTTCTGTAGTTTCTTCTGTAAAAATGGGGATAGTAGTGTTATAGGTCTTTCAGAATTTGTCTAGCAGGCATTCTGGTTTTTGCTGAAAGCCCCCTTAAAAAATAAATAAAACAAAAATGGGGATAGTAGTAATATGTACTTCATAGGATTATTGAGGGTATTAAATGGGTTAATCTACATAAAGTATTTAGAATAATGCATGGCATGTAGTAAGCACTGTATATGTGTTTGTTATTACTACCATTATTACTTTTGCGACAAGGGGATTGAAGGAAGAAGAGCTTCTATGGTGCAATGAGGAAAGGAGTATATCCTGCCCTGTGTGTTCCCCTAGTATCTTGGATATAAAAGCCATCCACAAAAAAACAAGGTCAGGAATTCAAAGGGGTTATTTGGGCACCTTAGAGTGTGGGATATCAAGTAGGCAGTCAGAATGGGATAGAATTCTTCAGTGAGAAGTATTGGCTATTTCCTTTTTGGAGCAGAGCAGTACCATATGGGTTAATCATATGGGAGAACAGTGACAGAGGGATAATCTAGGCTCAGGGGATTTCTTAAGCAGTTAATAATGCTTTCTCTCTTAGGAACTAACCTGTCAGGTACTGAGAGGCTTTGAAGATGGCTCTTCAGGTTGGGGACACGCCTTTGTTAAGGGGCAAGACTGCTGCCTGGAGTTGATTCACATACTCAGAGGTAGGATTGACCACATAAAGAAAATGCTTTCAAGTCTTTGTTCTGAATTTTCTTTGACCCTCCGTAAGTTTGGGGAAAGTCCCAGCCTCAGTAACCACCTCAGTAACCATCCCAGACACAGTGTAGAGGATATGAGTGGGGATGAGAGGCAGAGTGGGGCATCTGGAAAACAGGTACATCGTGGGGAGGCCAATCTGAGGAGCCATTAGTATTAAAATGGAAAGTTCAAGAGATACAAAAATTCTAAAAAAACTTTATCAAATCAAATCCAATAATGTATTACAAGGATAATGAATCATAACAAAATGGATTTTATCCCAGGAATGCAGGATTGGCTTGGCATTAGAAAATCAATCATGCAATTCAACATGTTAACAAACCAAAAAAGAAAACCCATATGATTATTGCAATAAATGCAGGAAAAGCATTTGACAACATCTGACATCCATTCCCGAGTTTAAAAAACAAAAACTCTTGGCAAACGAGAAATAGAAGGGAACTTCTTCAATCTGATATGGGCATCTGCAAAATAACCCACAGCTAACATTATATTTACTGGTGAAAACTGAGTGCTTTCCCCGCAAGATCAGAAACAAAACAGAGATGTCCACTCTCACCACTTCTATTCAGCATTATACTGAAGGTTCTAGGCAGTGCAGTCAGGCAAGAAAAAGAAGCAAAAGGCATCCAAATTGGAAAGGAAGAAGTAAAACTGTATTTACAGAAAATGTGATCATCTATGTAGCAAATCCAACTGAGTCCGCCAAAAATAAAACCCTACTAGAACTAATAAGTGAATCCAACAAGTTGCAGGTTATAAGATCAATATACAAAAAATTAGTTGTATATCCATATACTAGCAATGAACAATTGGAAACAGAAAATTTTAAAATACCATTTACAATAACATCTAAAAATGTGACTTAGGAATAAATCTCACAAAAGATGTGGGAGACCTATACACTTGTATTGCTGAGAGAAAGAGGAGCCAAATTAATGAAAAACATTCGTGGGTTGGAAAACTTAGTATTGTTATAATGTCAATTCTCCAAAAATTGATCCATAGATTGAATGTCATTCCTATAAAAATCTCAGCAGGCTTTTTGCAGAAATTGACAAACTGATCCTAAAATTCATATGGAAAGACACTACAGAGCCTGGTACAGTGTGTGGAAACCCTGGGTAGGGTTCAACTTTCCCAGAGAATTAGGATTATCAGTGGAGCACATATAGAGAGGAAAAAAACAGTGACAGGGCCTCCAGTTGCAAACAGGTCTACAAAGGATATGAGCAAGCAATTTCCTGAAGTGGAAAACCCAAAAAGCTAACAAGCCTAATGAAAGATGTTCAAATGTATTAACAGAAAAGTCTAAAATAAAACTACAGTGAGATTTTACTTTAGATTTCACAAACAGACAAAATTTTAAAAAGCTGGATCATGCCAAGTCCTTTAGTGGGGATATGGGGGCATAGGGACCCTCTTGCATTGGGAGTGGGGACTTTGGCAGCCATCCCAGAGATGAATGTGACACTATCCCCATGGGCCCTCCAAATAAATTCTCACACAGGTCCATAAAGGGTCATGTAGAAGAATGTTCATTATGGTGTGGTTTGCAACAGTGGGAAGTCGAAGGGCATGCTGGGTGTCCATCACCAGGGGCATACACAGGGAAATAGTGATGGGTGCACTCTACAGAGGACCTCTTAACCTTTACACCAGTGAGTTAGATGTACACAGGGCAACACGATGATCTTCAACACATAGCACTGAGTGAAAAAGAATGAACCATATAACAATACTACTCAAAAGTTACAAATATATGCACATATACACCAAATACACACCTTACAGAAATGCACACAAACAGATGTAAGTTAAACACTTTTGAAAAATGCCTATGTCAGGGAGAGGGGAGGAATGGGAGCGTGGATGACAGGGAATACATAAAACAAGAAAGCAGTGGAATTGCCAGGCACAGTGGCTCACACCTGTAATCCCAGCACTTCGAGAGGCCGAGGTGGGCAGATTGCTTGAGCCTAGGAGTTCAATTCCAGCCTGAGCAACAGAGTGAGTTCTCATCTCTACAAAAAATACAAAATTAGCCAAATGTGGTGGTGCATGCCTGTGGTCCCAGCTACCAGAGGGGCTGAGGTGGGAGGATCGCTTGAGCCCAGGAGTCTGAGACTGCAGTGGGCCGAGATTGTATCACTGCACTCCAGCCTGTGTGACAGAGTGAGACCCTGTCAAAAAAAAAAAAAAAAAGAAAGAAAAGAAAAGCAAAAAGGGAGGAGGAGGAAAAAACAAGCAGAAAGTGTCTGTTCCCTTGGCCTAGTCACCCACTCCCCATGGCATTCATCCTTTAGAGTCTACTCCACTGAGGAGGAAACAGCCACACCTACACTCTGTTAACCTGAGGCCAGAATGCCCAGGTGAGCCTGGCTCAGACGATCTGTACTCGGCTGGTTTTTGAGTACGTGCTGCTGCGGCTCCTGCACACCCTCCCACCAGCACTGCAGCTGCCTGGAGCAGGTGTGGACATGCATTTCACCCCACAGAAGTTGCCTGCTGTGATCTACTATTAAGGGTGGGGGCTGGTCACAGAGTTTGGAAGTAAAGAGTTAGAGCGGCCCACTCCCCATCAAACCATATGGTAACCAGACCATATGGTAACTAATTTCTGGTCCGCACAACAGTCCTGCTAGTGCCCTGACTATGCTGAGACATGGGTGTATTTTCCTGGCCTCATTTAGAACCTTACCCTCTGACTTCCCCAGAAGCAGCTCTTGTAAACTCTTAGGGAAACTGAAGCCAGACTCACTATGACTGAGAGATTCTCTTCAGCTTATCCTCTCCTGGACTCTTCACTTAATTGTACCAATACTGCCCCTTCCCACCAGCTAGATGCATGCTTGCCATTTGGTGTTCAAAACAAAACAATACCTTGTTCAGTGATACATACATGGGAGGTGAAATTTTCTCAAAAGCAGGCCAGGCACAGTGACTCATGCCTATAATCCCAGCACTTTGGGAGGCCGAGGCGGGCGGATCACCTGAGGTCAGGAGTTCGAGACCAGCCTGGGCAACATGGAGAAATCCCGTATCTACTAAAAATACAAAAATTAGCCGGACGTGGTGGCATGTGCCTGTAATGTCAGCTGCTCAGGAGGCTGAGGCAGGAGAATCACTTGAACCCAGGAGGTAGGTTTTGCAGTGAGCTGAGATCGTGTCATTGCACTCCAGCATGGGCAACAAAAGTGAAACTCTGTCTCAAAAAAAAAAAAGAAAGAAAAATTTTTTTTTTTTTTTTTGCAAAAATTGAGGAAATGAGAACATAAAGGTCAAGGTAGTGGTTTCTTCTGGGCAGGGGAAGGAGATGAGGGATCCACAGTTGGCTTCTCAAACTCTATAATGTTCTAGTTCTTAAGCCAGCTGGTGGGTAGATGGGTGTTTTCTTATATGTCTTTAAACTGAACATGGAAGTTTTCAGAACTTTTTTCTATGTTGAATATATTTAAAAGTTTGAAAGCAACACAAAGAGATTTCAGACCTGGTAACATTTGCATTTATCAGAACACATAGAATCAAAGAGAATGACAATAATCACATTGGAATATCTGCCTATGAGGGGGAGGGTGTTGGAAACGGGAGTGAGGAATGAAGGTAAAGTAGAGTAAATACATGAATAAGTAAATAAAAAGATACGCATTTTACTGATCAAAGGTAACAATGTAACATGACCAGTAGAGTATAGCTTCCTCCACCTTCTGCGCCTGAGATTCAAAGGAAGAATAAATACTGAACATGATCAAGAAACCGGACCTAATAAATCTGATTGATCCAAAACCAACAGGTACAAACTTAAATCACCTGAGTACCCAAAAGATTATTATAATCAAGTGAATCATTGCAACAGAAAGTTTTCTGAGGTGAAGGATTTTGAAGGCTCCTTCAAAAGTTGGTCATTTCTCCAAAGTTTTGGCAGGCTTGCTTCCCAACATTCCTAAAGGATTCAGATGGGGCCCTCGGTTCATTAGCCCATTTCACAGTAAAACTCAAAACTCAGTGGAGAAAGCAGGGGACTGAACTCATGTCCCTACAAGAGCAAAAGACCAAACCTTCATACCTTAGAAGTACAGCCCCGGCCGGGCGTGGTGGCTCAAGCCTGTAATCCCAGCACTTTGGGAGGCCGAGACGGGCGGATCACGAGGTCAGGAGATCGAAACCATCCTTGCTAACCCGGTGAAACCCCGTCTCTACTAAAAAATACAAAAGAACTAGCCGGGCGAGGTGGCGGGCGCCTGTAGTCCCAGCTGCTCAGGAGGCCGAGGCAGGAGAATGGCGTGAACCCGGGAGGCGGAGCTTGCAGTGAGCTGAGATCCGGCCACTGCACTCCAGCCTGGGCGACACAGCAAGACTCCGTCTCAAAAAAAAAAAAAAAAAAAAAAGAAGTACAGCCCCATGTTGAACCATGTCTTGGAAATTGCCTCTGTAGCTTCAACACAAACAAAAACCTGGCTGTTGGAAAAATGTGTTTGATTTAACCTCAGCCATCCTTAGACTACAAAAGAATCATGGGGGTTATATTGAGTCTGCTTGGATCACCCCTAGCCACACTCTTCCTCCTTTTGTCCCCTAATCCTAGTGTCCCTGTCTCCACTGATGAGCAAATGGACATTTCCCCTCAACACTGAGGTCACGTATTCTGCCTTGTCTCTGCACTCAGGTTGCCTCGCCAGATCTACTGTGGGCTGCAGTTTTAGTTGAGATCGTGTTAGTTAGTTAGTTCTTATCTTTTGAAATGGCTTTCTGTTACCATAGGATGCTTCGCTGAGGTATGTGCCTTCCTGCCTAACCTTGTACGTCTACTGACATATCAGATAGACGTGTTCCTTGCAAACTAAACGTAGTAATGTGCTGCAGGCCAGTTGGAGTATCACCGGATCTCCGCATGCCATTTGTGTCACCCTGGTGTGACCCACAGTAACTGTCTTTATGGGTT